GGGGGGAGGGAGACTATGGCAGAGGAAGGGAGATTGATGTGGAGGAAGAGAGATGGAGCTATGGCGGAGGAGGAGAGAGGTAGAGTACGCAGAGGGAGGTTTACTGATGGGCGACGGGGGCAAGACGGAGACTGTGGATGGAGGGCGGCTGATGCGGAGGGAAGAGATGGTGGAGGAAGGAGAAAGGGAGACTACGTGGAGGGAGGGAGACTGACAGAGGAATAGGGAGGAGAGAGGGAACCGCTATGGCGCATCAAGGAGGTGACAGAAGAAGCGCTATGGCGGAGCACGAAGAAGAAGAGGACGAAGAAGTAGTAGCAGTAGTAGTAGTAGTAGAAGAAGAAGAAGAAGAAGAAGAAGAAGAAGAAGAAGAAGAAGAAGAAGAAGAAGGAAAGACGAAAGAAGAATAAAAAGAAGAAAATGAACAACTGAAGAGAGTAAGAAGAGGAGGAAGAAGAAGATAATGATGGCGTGGAATGGAGGGCCACAATTATGGTGTGGCTGGAGGGCGATGACGATGGCGCGGCAGGAGGGCGGCAGGGCAACGACGACGATGGCAAGGACGACCACGGCACGGCGACAATGGCGAGGACATGACGGAAAGGCGATGACAAACTAGCGTGGGTGCCGCGGGGAGTAGTCCGGCGGAGGGCGCAGAGCCGCGCGCGAAGTCCCGAGATTCGAAATCAAAATCTCGGGACTTCAGCGCTGTCGATCAATGCAGATCAACGGCCTAGGCGGGAGAACAACAAAAAAAAAAACATGAAACGGGGCCTACTGGACCCCGAAAAATTTTGCGGCCATAGGCCCCTGGCGCAATTTTTTTTTTTTTTCGGCGGTTTTTGGGGGCGGCGCTGAGGCGGCCCGGGTGCCTGGCTGGGGGGGTCGCACGGCCGGGCGCCCCGAGCGCCCTTCCGGGCAACCTGGGGTGGCCAGGGCGCCCGGGGTGGAAAGCTAGGCACTGCCAGCATAATGGCACTATTTCAGATCCATGATCGAATTTTCCATATCGGATAGCAAATGCCAAGCAGATTCGATGTCAACTACTTTATTCATTCGTTGCAAGTCCTCACACGAGAAAAACTCTGGCACACAGTTGAACACGACTTCCCCGCCTACCTGAGACTTAGCACTTACACACACGCAAACACATGCACGACCACACACACACACAACCTCCTGATGAGTCGGCGAAAGTCCGACGAAACAGTCTGGCACATTCACGCTTTTCTTGAGTATATACCAGATATGACAACACATACACACAGAGAGAGAGAGAGAGAGAGAGAGAGAGAGAGAGAGAGAGAGAGAGAGAGAGAGAGAGAGACAGAGAGAGAGAGAGAGAATCCACTGCCTATGCGAAGTTCCACTTACCCTCCATCGCAAGTTCCACCTAGTACTCACCCCCCATCTGATCAGAACTTCACACGGCGGCACTGTTGCGACGTTGGAGAATAGTTGGCAAGAAAGTCTAAACCCCGCTAGTTGGGGCTAGAAGATGCAGCGGGAAAACGTAGTCTTATAGCATGGTGTGGGCAGATAGCAGCACGGGCTCACAGCTTGAATTGTGCAAGAGGAGGAAAAAGAGGGGATCATCCACCGTTCGAACCTTTGAATCGTGMCCATCTGCTTTCCCCTCACATGTGGTTCGAACGGTGGATGATCCCCTCTTTTTCCTCCAAGTACTACGGGCAAGACTCGCAATTCAAGCTGTGAGATCGTGCTGCCATCTGCCCACACCGTGCTATAACACTAAGTTTTCCCGCTGCAGCTCTTGTCAAAAAAAAAAAAAAAAAAAAAAAAAGGACGTAGCCCATCTACTTTCCCGTCACACGTGTGCTTTTTCTTTTTCTTTTCATCTCTATACATATAAAGGAAAACGCGGGTCTCGTGTGACGGTCCCTCGTGAGACCCGGTTCCCTCGTGTGAGACTGCCGTCGGCGGGCCCACGGGCGGAGTACCTGTCGTTGTCGGTTCAACCCGGTTCCGTCGTGTGAGACTGCTGTTGGCGGGTCGGTTCATGCACCGGGACGTGTTTTCAGGAGGGGGGGTTGTACGGGCAGTCCAGCGGTCGGTCGGTTCACGCACCGGGACGTGTTTTCAGGAGGAGGGGGTGTACGGGCAGTCCAGTGGTCGGGTGTT